CAAAAATATTGCCAATTCTTATAAGTACAAGTTAATTTGAATTAGTCTAAAATTAGTTTATAAAAAAAAATATTTCTCATAGTGCAATAGTTAATTTGATTAACAAATCTGTTCTAGTTGATCTAACAAATTAAGAGTTTGAAAATTACTTTTCATTTTTGACAAACAACAAAAGGATATCCTTTAAAATCTGTAATTAATAATCATTAAAGTTCGCAATCCTTCTCACCAAGGCAAGGTTTTAATCCAAGAGGAGGAAAAATTGAAACTTATTAACTATACACCCCACAAAAATTATCGCATCACTAATAGTTTTAAAAAAATTGTAGTTTTTTTTTTTGAACCGTCTGATTGATTTGGATATTCTCTTTTTGGAAGATAAGTTGATTCTTCTGGAATAGTAATCTCTGATTCTTTAAATAAAATTTAATTTTAGAGTGTATACCGGATGTTACAATAATATAGGTTTTTGGTTGGAAAATTCGTAACACCCTGTGGAGTGTACTAGCAATAATAGCATGTTATAATTAATAGCCTACTTTATTTTATTTTTTTGATTGTTTTATTCTCTCTGTTATTATAAGAGAAATACAGTTTTTTTAGCACTGTCTGTTTTTATAAACATACATTGCAAACATTTTAGTGATGCGATAATTTTTGTGAGGTGTATATTAATTATATTGAAAATTATATAAATAGAAGTTAATTTAACAATCAAATTATTTAGTATAGGTTTGCTGCAATTTAGAATAATATAGCTCAATTGATTAATCTCTTTAACAAACAAAATTGTTGTAAATAAAAAATTAAGAATTTGTTAGTACTGGCCAAATTTAGCCAGTAAATGAAGAGCAGTAACTCCGAGGTTTGAAAAAATTTTCTTTCTAGAATTTGCTTTTTGTTTACTGTTGCCGCATCCCACCACGAGGGGTAAAGTAGTGGACTAACACACTGAAGATGCTTTTTCATTTTATTTTTTCTGAAAAAAGATCACACCTAACAAACAGTACTATCTCTATATACATAAAAAATCTGATGTGTCCAACACATGACTTTCCTATCTAGTTATTATTATAATAGGCTTTTTCCGGTTATTTTGTACAACCTATTGCAGCATCTCTATAAATGTTTAGAGGATAAACTAAATATATACATTGTCCACATACATCTACCGAGAAACATTTTTCTATAGATATTCATTGAAAACGAAAATACTGAAAAATTTAAATTTCCTACAATTTTTTCATTACGGTCCATTTTAGAAAAATCATGTGTAAACAAAAATTATAGAGATCGATATCGCAAACAACTTTTAGTTCAACAATTTTCATAAAAATCAGAATTTTGCACATTTTGTCAAATTTCTCGAATAAGGACCATTTCAGGAAATTTTGACATAAAACATAAATTATAGATAATAATATTAGAAGTAACTTTTATTTGAACAATTTTTGTCTCCAAACATAAATAACAGATATACTCCATAAAATATAAAAACGGCCTCCCATAAAGTACCCCCCCAGATGTTCCGAGTTTGTCCAAAATCTAATCATTTCACGTCAGGCCGAAATAAAACTTAAATTTAAAATTTAATGTTTTTTTCTTTATCCGTTTTTGAGTTTTTTTCAAATTTCAAAATTTACACATTTTCTCAAATATCTCGAATACGGTCCATTTTAGAAAAATTTTGTATAGAACAAAAATTATAGATAATAATATAAGAAGTAACTTTTATTTAAAAAATTTTCAAATTTAGCACTATTCCTCCAATTTTTCTATTACGGTCCATTTTAGAAAAATCATGTAAAAAACAAAAATTATAGAGATCGATATCGAAAACAACTTTTAGTTTAACAATTTTCTTAAAAATTCGAATTTTGCACATTCTGTCCAATTTCTCGAATACGGACCATTTCAGGAAAATTTGGCATATAACAAAAATTATAGATAATAATATTAGAAGTAATTTTTATTTAAACAATTTTCGTCTCCAAACGTAAATAACAGATATATTCCATAAAATATAAAAATGAGCACCTATAAAGTACCCCCCCCCAGATGTTTCGACTCTGCTCAAAATCTAATCAGTTTATTGGAACAAAGCTTAAGTTTAAAATTTGGGGTTTTTCTGTGTATCGGTTCATGATTTATGCGACACACACACACACGCACGCACGCACGCACACACGCACACCCGCACGCGCACCCGCACACACCCACACACACACGCACACGCACACGCACACGCACACACACACAGACATCATCGCGAAAATAGTCAAAACTGATTCAGGGGACCTCAAAACGTAAAAATCCGTCGAAAACTCGAGGTCGAAAAAAATCATGATTTCTATATTTTCCTTATATATACAGATAGGAAAGTAAAAATAAAAATGATTATAAATAAATTGGTGATGAAATGTTTATCAATTTCTGGCATTTTACTAACAATTTCTTTAAATCTGGAAAACACTGAAACATTTATGCCCGTTTCAAAATGTAAATCACTTAAAATTTGTTGGATATTAGATTTACTAGACAACGAAATGAATTTTCTTGAAAAATTATATGCCAAACCTCTTTTTAAAATATCCCATCAATAATATGCAATAGTATGCCATTGTATGGATGGTATCGAGCTTCACAAAAAACAAAATAAGGCGTTTGAAATAATTCTAATTTCATGAAAGTTTATGGAAACTGGCAACATCGCTTTCATCTTATTGCGATGGTGGCTCCAAATAGTATGCCGTGTATTTTAACGATTTATCTTATTTAATTTATCTATGGATGCATCTGAGATGTGAATTTTTTATCACGTGATAAAGAATTAGATCTGAATAGATATGTAGATGTAATAAATAAACGCTCTAGACTTTATTGGTCACGTGATAAAATGACAATGACAAGTTAGAAGTTTATACTTTTTAAATTTGACTTTTGAGACTAGAAATCAACCTAAATTGGAAATCTAAACAAAAATTAAACAAACTAACCTTTATATTCACGCTAGCATAAACAAAGGATAAATCGATAAACTTAACTTCACAGAACACTTACTTTCTGGCATGGAATGAACATCTCATTCGCATCTCATTTCAAATCGAGATGTAAAAAATGTAATTTGAACAGATACATCTCGGATAAATAAACGCAGATGTAGATGTAGTAGATGTGTCCGATGTGGATAAACAAACGCTCGAGATGTAAAAAATGCATCGGATGTGGATATTCAAACGCGTCATAAATATGTAGCAAAAAGCAGTTTTATCTTTAATATATCGAACATATCTGTTTCATTGACGGGTAATGTAGACTCGTCCAACTGAAGAGAGAATCTGTTGGTTTGTAAGAAATTGTATAAAACTTTTCCATGTCTCGACTCATCTCGTCTATTTGTCTCTGAACGGTGTTATTGCTCAAATAAATTATCTTTATAATATCATGTGCAGGCTTGTACAATACATTGTTGAGGACCTCCGCTGCTTTATCTTTGCACAAATGTAAAGTTCTCATTATTCTCGAGATACATAATATTGTGAATTATTTCCAGCGGCACGCATATAAATACAATTTACGTTTTTCCCTTGAGTAAAATCTTTTATATCGTCAAATAAACATAAATTTACAATTAAATCTTGGTTCAAGCTTATTTTTCCTTTCTGTTTTTTTACGGATATGCCACATTTGAGATATGAACAACCTTCTTTTCTTTTTTTTACCATGTTTTTTAATAGTAATTTGGACTATTTTACATTTTTACTTTCCTATCTGTATACAGATATAAGGAAAGTATAGGAATCATGATTTTTTTCGACCTCGAGTTTTCGACGGATTTTTACGTTTTGAGGTCCCCTGAATCCGTTTTGACTATTTTCGCGATGATGTCTGTGTGTGTGTGTCTGTGTGTGTCTGTAGGTCGCATAACTCATGAACCGATACACAGAAAAACACCAAATTTTAAACTTAAGCTTTGTTTCAGCGTCCAATGAGCTGATTAGATTTTGGGCAGAGTCGGAACATCTGGGGGGGTACTTTATAGGTGGTCATTTTTATATTTTATGGAATATATCTGTTATTTACGTTTGGAGAAGAAAATTCTTCAAATAAAAGTTACTTCTTATATAATTATCTATAATTTTTTTTTTATGCAAAATTTTCCTAAAATGGTCCGTATTCGAGAAATTTGACAAAATGTAAAACAAATAATTTTTTATAAAAATTGTTCAAATAAAAGTTGTTTGTAATATAATTCTCTATAGTTTTTATCCTATAAATAATTTCTCTAAAATGGACCGTATTCGAGATATTTGAGAAAATGTGTAAATTTCGAATTTTGAAGAAAACTCAAAAACGGATAAAGGAAAAAACATTAAATTTTAAACTTAAGTTTTATTTCGACCTGAGGTGAACTGATTAGATTTTGGACAGAGTCGGAACATTTGGGGGGGGTACTTTATTGGTGGTCATTTTTATATTTTATGGAATATATTCGTTATTTACGTTTGTGGAAGAAAATTCTTTAAATAAAAGTTACTTACAATATTATTATCTATAATTTTTGTTCTATGTCAAATTTTCCTGAAATGGTCCGTATTCGAGAAATTTGACAAAATGTGCAAAATTCTGATTTTTAAGAAAATTGTTAATCTAAAAGTTGTTTGCGATATCGATCTCTATAATTTTTGTTTTTAAATGACTTTTCTAAAATGGACCGTAATGGAAAAATTGGAGGAAAGTGCTAAATTAAAATTTTTCAGTATTTTCGTTTTCAATGAATATCTATAGAAAAATGTTTCGAGGTAGATGTATGTGGAAAATGTATATATTTAGTTTATCCTCTAAACATTTTTAGAGATGCTGCAATAGGTTAACTAGATAGGAAAGTCATGTGTTGGACACATCAGATTTTTTATGTTTATAGGATGTTGCAAAATAATTATAAATGTTTGTTGTGAGGCTATAAAATCAATCAAAATCAAAGTGTTTTTTTGTTTTAGGGATCATTTTCCATTTTATAAACAAAATGACGACAGATGGAAGAATTCCGTTAGGCACAATTTATCGATAAACCCACATTTTAGGAAAGGAGGGAAAGCAGTTCAAGGGGCCGGACATCTTTGGACGATTGCACAGAAAAACGATAAGAAATGTTCGCAAATTGTAAGTAATTTTCTATGCAATTTATTAAATGACATTCATTCTCGATTTGTTCCACAAACTTCTCTTTTGTGGTTCTTACACCTTTAGTTGATAATTTGGTAATGGTTTTTGAAGTAATTGTTTAATTATAACAACTTTAATATAAAACTCGTTTATTTTCTAGTTATGACAACTTCATACAAATTAATGACAAACCTTCCCTATAGCTCTAGGAGTAGGTATATAGTATACACATATCACCACATCCCCCCTTAAGTCGTTTTCCGCTAACTTTTCTCATATCTCATCTCCCCGTTCTAGATATTCTCGAATGAATTTCCTGTTTCTGGAGTATATACGTCCACTCGCGGTTTTTATTAGGTAATTTCTGTTACTTCTGACTTCGACGATATCTCCTAGCTTGTCCCATAATTTGTTTGTTGGATTTTGAATTCTAACCCTAGATCCAACTTTAAGGGGTACCAGATCTCTTGCTCTTTTATTATAATAGCAAATTGCCTTATCGCGCTGGATTCCTTTAATTCTGTCGTAAGTGTCGACTGCAACCTGCCATTCTTTCGAAAATGCCTTGTTATGTGCTGGTACCAAAGTTCTAATAGGGTGACCAAATAAAACTTGAGCTGGAGATATTCCATTAGATTTTGGAGTATTTCTCCATTCCAGCAACCCTGCGCAAAATTGGTGATCATCTAATTTTCCACCATTCGTACATTTTATAATTAACGTTTTCATTGCTTTTACACCAGCCTCAGCGTGCCCATTGCTTTGTGGATAATATGGGCTGGATGTACAATGAACTACATTCCATTTTTTTAAAAATGATGTAAACTCGTAAGAACTAAATTGTGGCCCATTGTCCGAACGTAATCGTAGAGGTACACCAGTATCGCAAAATATTCTTCGTAAATCGTTTGCTAACATTGTGCTATTTGGATCCCTGCTTCCATAATGACATATTACTGGCCACCCGGATAGTCTGTCCACATATACCATGTATTTTTTACCAGCGTATGAGAACAAATCCGCTGAAACATCCTGAAAAGGAAAGGTAGGAGGTGGATCATCCAAATATGTTTCTTTTTGTAAGGAAGGTCTAAGCGTCTGACACATTTCACATGACTCTATCATATTTTTAATATCGTTATTGATATTTGGCCAGTATACTGTTTGTCTAGCACGGCGTTTTGTTCTCTCAATGCCCTGATGTGAATCGTGAAGTCTCTCTAACACCATTTTTCTTGCAGATGCAGGTATGACAATTTGGCATCCTTTCAGGACAAAGCCATTATTGTAACTTAGCTCATTTCGGGTATTCCAGAATGGCATAAGCGAAGAGTAAAGCTGGTCCTTTTGCTCTGGAAACCCTTTTTTTATGGCTGCAATTAACTGCTGGTATGTGTCTTCTTTAGATGCAGATTCTTTCAAAAATTCCAACAAAGAGTCTTGGAGATGTGAAGTTCTAGTTAATTCTTCAGTATTATCTATTAATGCCACTTGTTGTATGACAAAAGAATTAACATGAACTGTGGAATCTTCTCCAAAAAGTTCATCTTCATTTGGTGGATTTATAGGGGCTCGAGACAATGCGTCTGGGATTAAATGATTTAGTCCTATTGTCCAATCTACTATAAAATTATATCCACATAATTTTTCTTTAAGTCTCTGAATTCTAGGATTTTCTATCATGTCTAAAGTATACGAATTTAGAATTGCCAACAATGGCTTGTGGTCAGTAAGTACCTTAAATTCATTTAGGCCCAATAAATACAATCGACATTTTTTTATAGCCCAAACTATTGCTAGTAATTCGATCTCTATCATTGCGTATCTCGTTTCAGTATCAGATAAAAACCGGGAACCGCATTGTACCAATTTCCAGATGTCTCCATGTTTCTGAAGCAGGGCGAATCCCAGACCATTAAATCGTGAAGCATCTGCATGCAAAGCGGTTGGTAATGTTGGATTAAAGGTAGCTAGGATCGGTGGCTTTATAAGAGCTTCTCGGATATTATTAAATGCTTCATCATGTTTAAGACACCAAGTATATTGATTTCTAATTTTCAGTAAGTCTCTTAAAGGACCTGCAGCTGTACTGATTTCAGAAGAGAAGCTTCCAAGCTGATTGACCATACCCATGAAAGATCGCAGTTCTTTTATACACGTAGGTTTTGGGTATTTTTGAATTGCTTCGACTTTCTTGGGATCAGCTTCAATACCATTCTCTCCTATTATATAACCGACATACTCAATTTTGGATTTTCCAAAAACAAATTTATTTGGATTTAATGTAATTCCGTAAAGTCTACATTTTTCTAAAAGCTTGGTTATTCTTTTAAAATTATTTGAAAAGCTCTCGTCGTATACTAATATGTCATCGACAACCTTCTCGATATTGGGGATATCTGATAAAGCCTTATCTCCCCTTCTGCAAAATTCATCTCCAGAGCTTATTAACCCATAGGTGCCCTCAAGAATTTATAACGCCCCCAGGGAGTTAAAAATGTTGTCAAATTTTGGCTCTCTTTATCGAGAAGTATTTGCCAATATCCACTTTCCATGTCTAGAGTTGAAAAGTACTTCGCATTGCCATTGATATTAGATACTGCTTCCCATGGATGTTTGAATGGATGTACAGGTCTTCTAATAAAACGATTAAGTTTTGTAAAATCAACGCAGACTCTAAGTTTACCATTTTTTTTTTGTACAATGACGAGTGGACTGACAAAATCTGTGGGAGACTCTTCAGCTTGTATGATAATGCCTTTTTTTGTTAACGAATCTAACTCTGTCTTTACTTGTTCCCTCCATGCAAATGGGATTCTCCTTGGACAAGTAATTGCATATGGAACTACATTATCTTTCAGATATATATGCATTGGACGTCCATCCATTGGCTTGAGTGTTTTTGTAGAACCAAAGACGTCGTTGTATTCTGTTAAGATCATTTTGCGTATTTCTTCACAGTCTGCCTCTGTAGGATTTTTAGGAATTTTCAATTCTAGGCTTTTGATTGAGCTATATGAAAATAACTGTCTTGGAAATTCTGAATGGATGATACCCAATTCGATCATTGACCTTCTGTCGATAAGCAATTCTTTGACACCAGAGCAAATGTGAACAATTATTTTTGTGCTTAAATTTTCGTATTTGATTTCTAATTCTAAAAATCCAAAACTGGTTAATTTTTTTTTATCAGCAGATTCCAAACATATTTTACTTTTTCTTAAATCATCTCTCTGTAACTTTAATTTATTTAAGAGCTCATCTCCAGCTACGCAGACTTCAGCTCCAGTATCTGGTGTAGCTTTATAATCCACGCTGACACTGGGATTATTAAATGGTTTAATTTGTACTCGAATCTGTCTTTTTAAGTGCCTCCAGATTAAGTTTTCAACAGAATTTATTTTAAGACATCCAATTCTGGCTACTTCACCTTCGTCCTCAGATAAATATTCTATTGCTTTCACTACTTTTTTAAGACAGCATTTTGTATAATGACCTTTCCTTTCACATTTTTCGCATTTGGTATTCTTTGCCGGGCATTCTCTTAGGCTAGTATGCCATACATTGCCGCATCTTGGACACCTTTTTGCTGAAGAACTATTAGTAGCATGATTTGCTTGCACTTTGGAAATACTGCCGTGACAAATATTATCTTCGGTCATTGCGGCTTCTTCTGCTTCGCATAATCTAACTATATCTTCAACTTCTGCGTTGTCTGGCAATTTTCTACATTTTTTTCGTATATTGGGATCATATAGAGATTCTATAATATGATCTGCCAGACAACGAGCATAACAATGTGAACAGGGATCGGTTAACTGAAATAATTTAACTTTTTGTCTGTAAAACGTTGTAAAGTTCTTGTTTTTTTAACATAAACTGGCTTCTTCTTAGACGGCTATTTTCTTTCTTTTTAAAATATGATTCTAATTTACTTAACATATCATTCATAGTTATGTTTTGAGCCATATCGATTCCAATTACAAGTCTTACGACGTCGGATATTTCTTGGTCGAAGAACGATTCAAGAAGTGCCAATAGCTGCTTTTCAGGTGCGGAACTTACATCTTGAAACACTAAATAGTTCTCGAATCTTCTTCTCCAATCTTTGAACTGGGAATAGGTCAACGAATCTACAATTTTTTCGGGGCTGGGAATAGCGCTTGATAAGCGAATGGCACTTTGATTCGAGGAAGATGTACTCACGTTTATATTTTCAATTTCAGATTGTGTCTTTTTCTTGAAGTTTTCATCTTCGTTTTGGGGAAGTAACTTCTCAATTAAATTTCGCATTGCAAAACATTGCTGTTCGAAATTATTTTCTATTCTGGACAAAGCATCTTGAGTGTCTTTTTTTAAAGTATTAATATTGTCTTTTGTTGACGATAGTATTTGTTCAAGAGAACCAAACCTATTGTTAAAGGCATCCTCTTTTTCTTCGGCTAATGCCTTTGATTTTGGGGTTTTCTTTGGCATCTGCTCTTAGCACCGTTTTTTTTTTTTTTTAAATAAAAATGTTCTTAGTACTTATGCGTAGATCTTTACAGTATATATATTTCTTTATGACTGCGCCATGAAGTAATTGTTTAATTATAACAACTTTAATATAAAACTCGTTTATTTTCTAGTTATGACAACTTCATACAAATTAATGACAAACCTTCCCTATAGCTCTAGGAGTAGGTATATAGTATACACATATCACCACAGTTTTATTGTTGTTTAGGTGTTGGACTTAAAATACAATGTTTTTTAGGTTTGCATTGCATTCGGTTCTTCGTTTGTACCTTCTTCATTACTTGTATTTATTTATTGATATTTTTAAGTATTGTTTTCCTTTAATTTTTGTTTAGAGTCATATTTTACTATTATGGGTTTGAAATTTGTTTTTTTTTTTAATAATATATTAGGTATACTTACTAAGTATATATAATTGATACAAAAATTGATATTGTTAATAGGGTTATTTATTTTCAAGCACTTTATTTAATTTATTTTTAAATGATATGCATCTAATCTCGTGGTACATATAATTTAAAAATTATATTTTTGTAACAAAAAGTGTTAAAAACCCGAAAATTTGTCAAAAATAATTTTGAAATATTCTATTAATCACTTAATTCGAAATTAAAGAACGTATTTTTAAGTACAAACAATATTTTTTCTTCTGTGTAAAAAATAATTAATTTCAAAACAATTCATTTTGCTTATTTTGTTGTAGAAACAAAGAATAAGCCAGTTCTTCCAAAATTCGTCTAGCGAAATGAAACCGCAAGATAATATCGAAAAAGAATTACAAGCAGCGACAGAAAGTATTCTTGGCGAAATCAACGGTCGAGTAAGTTTAAGTATTTTATTAATTTAATCACACTAGATCTCAAAAAAAAAAACACGTTATATCTATAATCTAAAAAAAGTTCTTAAGTATCTTTAATTGATTGGATACCAGAATAAAACAATCAAATAATGTACAGATAAATTTAAACACAGTCTTCAACAATCTCTGTATGTGAGTCACAAGTAGGCTTAGCAGTAATTACAATCATATTATTATTTTCTGTAGACCAATTCAAATTTGTGAAAATTAATCATCGTATCAAAGACATTAAAACAAATTGGTAGTTAGTAAATGCATATTTGCTATTGTAATGTTTATTTAATTTAATTAAACTATTAAGTTAATTTATTTTATAACCTTATGGTGAGTACAGCACCCCCTTATAATTTTCGGACAAGCATATCTCAAAAAGTAATTTTTTTTAAAAGTTAAAATTTTGGCCATATAAATTAGGCAATAGTATCTAGAATATGCTTATATTTTAAAGTTTTAATTATTTTCAGTTTTCAAGAAAAAATATCAAAGGGCTTTAAATTTTAAAATATCATAATTAAAATAAATGCGTTCCTCAATAGCAGTATTCTTGATATAATCCCCAAATTTAAGCTCTTAATCTCTTGTTAATGATTTTTTAAAATTCGCCGAAATTAGTGGCTAAAACGGCTCGTTAAGTGCTATTTCTTGATTTAAACTAGTGTAAACTGGTGTAAATCATTGAAAGAAACGAATGATGACTCAGAGTGTACGATACGAAAGTTACAGTCGCGTTACACCAGAAAGCAGCACTTAACGAGGCGTTTTAGCCACTAATTTCGGCGAATTTTAAAAAATCATTAACAAGTGATTAAGAGCTTAAATTTGGGGATTATATTAAGATTACTGCTATTGAGGAATGCATTTATTTTCATTATGATATTTCAAAATTTAAAGCCCTTTGATTTTTTTTTCTTAGAAACTAAAAATAATTAAAACTTTAAAATATAAGCATGTTCTAGATATTATTGCCTTATTTATTTTGCCAAAATTTTAACTTTTAAAAAAAATTACTTTTTGAGATATGCTTGTCCGAAAATTATAAGGGGGTGCTGTACTCACTTTATGTACTAGTTTATATCACATTTATGTTAACAATATTAATTTGCTCACATCGATATCTAAACTTGAACTATCCGCTCCAACAACAAAACAGCCCATTTATACAATATAAGTGGTATTTATCGAATGTTTGGTTGAGTTTTCGGGTAACAATGTTTCTGTAGTATTTTATATATGCGAGCAATCTCTGGTGAGGTATCAGAATCAAAATCTTGGTGTTCCATTATGAAATAATACAAATTACAATAGTTATAATAAATAGCAGTTGAAGTTGAATACTAATACCCAGATAGCAAAAAGTTATCTTAAAGACGTCTGATATGTCCTATTCAAGGCCTGGTGTTTCCTGAAAGATGTCATATCTTAGAAGATGTTACAATAAGGGACGTCTTAATATTGGCTAATAATGATCTGTGGAGCCTTAAATAAGCCATAAATAAGACGTCTTCAAAACGAATTTAAAATAACTGTTTAATAAAGCACTATATACCTAAGTCATAAATAAGACGTCTTTAAAACGTCTGATAATGATCTGTTGGGCCTTGAATAAGTCATAACTAAGTCTTCTCAAGGAACAATTTTAAAACACTTTAAATTTATTTAGGGTAAATAAAACAATAATGGTTTTAATGTTACTTGAAGATAAACTAAATGTTCTTAAAAACCATTTATTCTTATGCAAATAATTTACCGGTGTTCTCGAATTGAGGACCACTACCTGCACAGACCAAATAAGTGCACCGAATTGCGGACCGTACTAAGGATTAGGGATTAAGGTGGCAATGAGGGTTCATTGCGTTAACTAGATTACTGAGAGAGATTTTTGTACCTGGAAATATGACACGAATTGAGGAACAAACTTCTCAATAATTGAAGTATCTTATCACTATACCCATTTATAATATTATTATTTGTCTTCTGATGGATTTGCAAAATTTGAAGAAAAGTACGAATTCAGATAAAAATAGATATTTATTGCACAATTTACAATTTATAATTAATTTTTTAAACACATACATATTATTTACATTTAATACACTTTATGATAATTTGATGCGAATTTTACAAAATCTATTCGTTTTATAGAACCATTTTTATATTCTAACATTTTTGAAGTTAACATATTTAATCTTCGTCTAACAATTTTGTTGTTACATTTAACAGACTCCTTAAGGCTGTTAATACGAATATAAGTATCTGTTTGAAAATTGTTCAAAACATTTACAAATAAATACAATGAAGGGTGCATTGAATAGAAATTTGAATTAAATCTAGAATGAAAGGACTCGCATGCATTGGTAGAATTTTCTGTAGTTACAACAGCTTCAGCCCAAATTGTTGGTGGAAATAAAGAATTTTCTTCAATATAATTCTTTACTAAATAGTCAGCTAAATTTACCACAGCTTTATGCATATGATCGGGCTGAAATTCAGCCAAATCCAAAGCAAAACATTCTCCAACTTCTTCGGGTTTTAAAAAAGACAATCCAAAAAGATACCTCATCCATTTTCCAGTTGCACTTTTTTCATCTTGGTATTCTTTAGCCAATCCCAAACTCTGTATTTTTCTGTACCAAGCTTGGCCAAGATGAAACCTACATCCAATGATCTTTGTGGTGGGCCATTGCGCAGAAATTGCTTTGTGAATAGCTAGTTCATAATCAGCTACAATAATTTTTGGAACAAATATTAAATTAGCATTACAACACTTTTCTTTAAGAATAACGAAAAGTCTTTCGTATGTTAAACGAAGTTTATTCGGTAATAAACAAAAAGCTACTGGTATATAATGGCCGTTTTCTACGATATGAAGTGTGAACAACTGTAAAAAATGTTTCGTACAATATCGAAATGTTCCATCAAGATACACTTTGTCACTACTACACAAAAATTTTAAATTAGTATAGCACGAAAATACTACAATATTGTTAATATTATCAGTGGCCAAGAGAAATGGTTCATTTTTAATTGTTGTCAAATTTAATGTTGGTAAAATATCGAAAACATCTGATACATTGCTTGGTAAACGTGCTTGGACTTGATTGACGTCTTTTGTAATACATATTATTTCTTATGTATGTAATGTCTTTTCTTGTCAAAGCGTCCATTGTATCACTGTTTTCCCTTAAAACAGAGTGTATGATTTTCGATGGCCGTTCTGTGATATCTTCTACAGCTTTCCGTTTGCTTGCTACACTCAAAATTTGTCTATTTAATTTCTTTATGTCATTTTCATGATTGTGCACTGTTTCTTCTCGAGAAATTATATTATCTGAACCTAGCGTAAATACTTTTGCGTTACATTTACTTACAGTACAAGTCCAAAACTTTTCACCACTTTTAAGAACCTTTTTTTCACGAAACTTATAATCATCCCACACAAGTAACGACTTTCCCTTTTCACTTAAGATCATTTTAATTTCACTCATTTTTACAAGACTGCTCAAAATAAACTAAACACAAAACACTCACTTCAAATATATATTAGAATTTCGAAAGTAAAGTAATAATATGCTCGTTAACGCAATGAATCATCATTACAACCTTAATCCCTAATCCGCAATTCGGTGCACTTACTATAATTATTTATCAGAAGCCTGGTCCTCAATTCGTGTCATATTTTCAGGTACAAAAATAAACCCTTCTTAATATTTTCATTTTGGTTCTCAATTCGTGTCTGCCCTAATTTACTGTACTCTTTAAATTAAAATTAGTAAAAACTATTTGCTCTTAGTGTCCTATTGGTCTTATACTGATTTTATAATACTCTTAACATTGGAGTACTTTTAATATATTCATTAAAACCCATTAATAAAACTATCTTAAGCCTATATAAAAGTACTCAATAAAATTTCACAATTTTTGTCTTTTAAAGAGTACATTAAGAATATTTAAAACATATAGGTTTTAATTTAGTCAATAGTCAAGTCTATCAGCATATTATCAGATAATTTTAATGTTAAGTGTAGTTAGATATCGTTAACAACTTGTGTCAAAAATGGCGATCTGCAATATCCTTATTATACTCTTCACACAGTAATCTGTGAAAAGTATTATAGGTTTACTTTCGAGAAACCAAAATTTTTAAAATTGATCAAAATTTAAAAATTTTTGTACCAAAATCCTTCTCAACAAATTTTAAATAATTTTTAAAAATACCTGTCCGTCCGATGTCATGTTTTTTGTCCGCAAGATAAGTCAAAAACGAAAAGTTGTTTCAACTTGTATTCAGGAAAATCAAGCTCTATAAGAGGAACGACGGAGTTAAAACTAAAAAATAAATCAAAAATAAAAAACGAAAAACGATATCAACATGAAATTTTTAATGAAAATCAATTTCTATATGGGGATGAAGCCTATCGATTCTGAAAAAATTCTGATTAAAAATGAGGGAGTTAGGAGCATTGAAATATAAAAAAATGCTAACTCAAAAACGAAAAATTATATGAATTTTTAGCAAAAATCAAGATCTATAAGGGGACGAAGCTAATTGATTTTGAAAAAAATCTGAATAAAAAAGGGGAAAGGGGGTTAAAATGTCTACTAAAAATCAAGCTCTCTATAAGGGGATGTAGGCAGTTGATTCCGAAAAAAATTCTAAATAAAAATGGAGTTGAAATATTAAAAAAATCCTAACTAAAAACAAAAAACGATATCAACTTGAAATCTTCAGGAAAAATCAGGCTCTACTAGGGGATAAAGCCTATTGTATCAGGAAAAAGCTGAAATTAAAAATTGGGGTCTCTTAAACTGTGAAGAGAATATATATCTTCATTCTAGTTTTGTTTTATTTCAGAATTACAATATCGATCCCTCCAGAAGTACTAATATAGAAGTTGAGTATATCAATCTAGGAGATCCAAACAACGGCTTAGAAGGTAAGCGAAACGGATATAAATATTTAAAAAACATATGCATTTAAAAAAAAATCCAATGAAATATAACTGGCACCATTAAAAGTAGTTATTAAAACAAAATTATTTCAATACTTATGTTTTTTGAATTCAATTGCTTTCATTTTAAAATTAAGTTAGTTATATTAATATTAACATTTAACTTATTCAAGAATAATCAAGAGACTTTTTATTATATCAAGACCTTGATAAATAGTCAACTATTTTTGTTGCGTCTAAATATCGAAAGACTATTTCACTAGAGAAATAGTCGCTGATATTTGGTCTAGTGAAAATAGTCAGTCAAATTTCTTGGGAGCCAAATATTGTTTTCTATTTGATCTGACACAATTTAACCAATATCTATTTCTTTTTGCAATAACCAGTACACACTATAGGTATGTCTAATCAATATATTAATAAATATAAATTGTATATGTTGGTGCACTGTTCAATCATTTTCACTGTCGTTTATTTCTCATTATACAGAGTGTTTCTTAATAACATGCTAATATTTAAGGAGGTGAGACTTAAGAAAAAAAAAACCTTCCTTGGACTCATTTTGAAAAAAACATTATATGAAAGTATGTCCTAAACGTCTTAACTTTTGAGATGTTAAAGTTTTAAGTGGTACGCCACTGCTTCTCTTAAAATAAAAATTATTTTTTGAGTCTCAGTTCAAATTAGAACAAATTTGATTTTTTGACTTGTTTTCGTACGAGTCACGTTTTCCTTCAAAAATATCTAGTCTGAGTCCAGTAAATAAAAAAATATTTTTTAGGTCAAAAAATTCTCTTTACCATATTTTATAAACATATTTAAAGTGGTATGAAAATGACAATAAAACATTGATTTTTTTCTTAAAACTTTAACACCCTGTATCTCAAAAGTTAAAACGTTTAGGACATACTTTCATATAAAGTTTTTTTCAAAATGAGTCCAAGGAATCACCCCATTAAATATTAGAATGTTATTAAGAAGTACCCTGTATATTTCAGTACGAAGAATATTTTATGGTCACATTCATGATACCTTATAAGTAATGTCTAAATTCATTTAAATTTCTGTGTATATTCTCTTCATGTATGCTATTGCTCTTTCTAACACGTAATAAACGCTAATAGTGCATGGGCTCTTAAAAAATTCCCTTTTTAAAAACTGTATGTCTTTTACGGTTATAAATGTTCTCTAGTTTATAGTGCCCGTAAACAATATAAAACCAAGGCGTATAGCAGGCCTACACAACATACGGACCGCGGGTCGCTTGCGGTCCGCTTTTGTCGTTTTCTTGGCCCTTTGTCCCTTTACCAATTTTGTCCGCCTACATTAAACTATACATTATTCAATAACAAAATTGCACATATTAATTGCCTTAATAGATATCAAATCATATATGAATAAAACTTTGATGTAAGTATTCAAAATAAAACTTAATAAACAATGTTTATTTTATTTGAACAACTCCCCCTACCTGACCGCCGCCAAAAAAAATTACTTTCGTTCTTAGCCCTCGTACACCTACGGTTTTTTTGAACTGTCCCTTTGAAAATCCCAGTTGTGCAGACCAGGGCCTCAATTCTCGACTTTTTTTCCCATGGGGAAAAGATAATTTTCCTATGGGAATTTATATTTTGTATTCTCGACGCATCCACTAGGAATATTTTCTCACGAAAAGTATGGGAGCAAATACACCTGGTATTTGGCATGGGAAATCAAATTTCCAATGGGAATCTGTCACCGGTGACATTTGCTAGTTACTTCAAATAATAATATTTATATATTATTATTACTAATATACCTTTCCTAAAATGGATGAAGCTATTTTGCTTTCCCAATTAAACAATATAGAAGAGGCAGAAAGAAGAGCAATTAATGTCCCAAGAGATTTTTGGTCTAAGTGGAAAAATGAGGCAGGGGATCCCTTTGAATCCTTAAATGATAGACAATTTCTCAAATATGATCAACGCAAGTTTTCTAGAATAAGCAATCCCAGAATAAATTTTGTTTCATTAATATGAATAGGCTATTTCAGAATAAATTTTGTTCTATTACGCAAAATAAATAGCGACTGTTAATAACATAATGAGATGTTAAAAAACTTGAAGCTAAAATATTGAACACTCTTAAATATCCTTAAAATTCCTCTGTTTCTGCTATTTTTTCCAAGGCACAAGTTATTCGTTCTTTTGCCAAAACATTTCTCTCTAATAACTTGAATTTTTTGTCATAATAATTTTCTTTATTAAAGTTTTTATTTTGTAACATGCGTTCAATATTTCGGCTAGTATTCAAGGTTTTAGTTAACCTTGTAGCAGCTACTCTTCGTTTGGGCTTTATTGTGCCCCTTGTACTAGGTTCAGCACATGATATATTTTCACGTTATTTTCTAAAAAAAGGGGGTTGATTGTTTTCTCTGACAAGATGGCAAGTGGCAAAACAATAGTCAAAAGTTGACGATATAATCAATGATCCCAACATTACTACTTGAAAGTATTGAAATATAATATTAATTATGATTGGTCAGTTTCCAATATTTACGTACTTAATACCCGACATACGTTAGACATACGAATAATCGAAATTCCCATAGGAAAAAGGTTCCTAACCTAGTCGAGAATACCATTTTATAATACCACTGGAATATAAGCATGGGAATATTTATCCATGGGAAAATTTTCCGGTGAAGTCGAGAATTGAGGCCCAGGGGGTCAATTCTCGACTTTTATTCCCATGGGAAAATAAAATTTTCCCATGGGAATTCAGTTTTCGTATTCTCGACATAATCGGTGGAATATTTTCCAATGAGAAGTATGGAAAAATATTCCCCTGCTTACGAGCATTGGAAATTGTGTTTTCCAATGGGAATTGTACTAGAGTTTGCGCATTAAAGTCTTTGAACCACGCCCTAATTCAGATGATGATGATGAAAGTCGAAAATTTGACGAAAGACCACGCGAAAGTCCTAAGACATTACCAAAGATTATTGGATATCTTGGACTTTTGGTGAAATTGTAGTTAAAACATTTTTTTGGCGATTCCACCGTTGTGTTAAACGGAGATTAAAATGACATTGTTAATGTAAAAATGTCACTTTAAACTTCGTTTAACACAACGGTGGAATCGGTCCTTAGTTTCTCAAAACTTTCGTTGCTCTTCTATACAAAAGCTACCTTTTCTTTTTTCAACATGAGAAAAGAAATACTAAGAATAACTCGACAAGTTTTAATTATTATACGTAATCGAATATTTTCACTTATTCCTCGATCATGATAGCGATTGCTCGGCACGGCACCTGCTCCAGCGCGGAGGCTTGGCAGGTAATCGGATACCCAAAAACCACAACAAATACAAATATTGCCAACAGTAAATTTTAAAATATCTTTAATGTTATTGGTTGTTTCGAAATATTCGTGAACTAAATATCAGACATACGTGAAACTACTATTTCCATGGGAATGTCTATTCCGACACGTTCGAGAATTGCATAACCTATATTACCATGGGAATATAAGTAGTGAAATATTTTCCCAAGGGAAAATTTTCCAATGATCTCGAGAATCGAGCCCCTGGCGTAGAGGGACAAGGCGAAATAAATTAGTCGGGACGCGTAAAAATTATTATATTTATCTTTATTATTGCTGTAAATATTTATTTGGATAAGTAATAAATTTTGTATTGTGCAACTACTAAAAATGTATTTGGGTCACAGGCAACATTTAATGAAAATTTTTTATTTCAAATTTGACGTTCAAGAAATTCTTAATGAGTTGACTCATTCTACAAATTTCATCTCTGGGCTCCATACTATATAGCGCGGCTTCCTTTGACTGCGCCTTAATTTTGACGTTATTGCGACGTTGCCGGCACTTACACTTTGTCAAGCAGTTTTGGACTTTTTACAATAATTAATAAACTGGTTTTCTCAGAGACAAATTAATGGCAGGATTCTTGGAAATATCAGCTGCAGAATCTGTAAGATATAGTAATGTAATGTATTTTTTTACAGATTTTGGCTCACAGATTTTATAGATTGTTTCAAAATCGACCCATAAATCTGCAACCCAATATCAATTTCTCAGAAAATAAAAAAAACTTTAATAGTCTTTAAGTGAGTCCAAATAAACTTGTTTGTATAAAAATAAATCTTCCTAAATCAAAAAAATATTAGGTTTTTAAAAAAACAGAGGTGAATACCGTACGACGTTTTTTCCAATTGTTACATTAAATTCCCTATGGATCGAAATTTATGGAACATACTATATAAAATATGTTCAGTTCTTGAACAATCATAAAGTGAAGAAACCCTTTTCTCGATTTTGGTGTAAGAATGTCATATTCTCGCACGCAAAATTGTTAAAGAATGAACCTCACTGTTAAACGATTGTTGGTGACATTTATTACAATTTAACTTTTCTGTCCAACACTTTATTCGAATCTACTCGTCCGTCGATAAGTCGCGCTATTTATACCAAGCCCAACTCTGTACGAGAAGTTTCTAGACGATGTGAAATGTCCTAGAATTCCATCTCTATGACTCAACGGAACGTACCGCTTGTTCTGGTAGTTTCTCGAGAGGCGGGACGTCTCTATACGTCAGCGGTGTTTCGACCATGAGTCGATTGGCAGGCTGAAGGTCGCGCTCTACAGGTACGGCCAGAGATAACAAGGGAGATATAACTACTCATTCATAAAATAGAATATCTATGATGCCAACATCAAATTAGTCGATTTGGTGATCAGGAGAGGAAAGACGTGATGTGTGAGGTAAGGGAGGGGATATACTGCAGGCCGTACACGTTTGTTAGTCGCAGCGGAGTATAAATAAATTGCATTGGCGTACCCCAGGAACGGGATAAATTAAATTATTTAAAAATATATGTTTTTTTAACCCCGTAAAAATTTTTGTATTTTAATATAGATATATTGAGCAGTAGTACACATATGTTTTCTGCAAAATTCGTTGAGTTTTTAATTCATTAACGATA